TCCATCCATCCATCCATCCATCCATCCATCCATCCATCCATCCATCCATCCATCCATCCATCCATCCATCCATCCATCCATCCATCCATCCTCTTCTGTTCCTTGTAACTGAGTTATTTTTCTAAAGGTTATTCAAACCAAAGTTTGGTTTATTGGCTCTTTGTCTCCCTCTAGTGGAGAAGAAACATCCAGTTTTGCATTTCTTAGATTTCAGGCCTGCTTTTTTACACAGGTAAATCATTTTAGGGATGCTGGGTGCAAAAGGCAGCTTTCAAACACAGGATTTGGTTTCTTACATATTTTGTCTGTTATCTGCTCCAATGTTATCTACCCAGAATCCTTCATTTTTAGTCCCCTGTTCCTTTATCAAGGCTTTGAAATGGATGTTTGGAGAATCCATGGAGAAAATCAAGGCCATAGTAGGAAAGTCATCAGCAGATGCATCACATTTAAGGACCTCCATCAACACTGATGGGTAACCACTGAGATAATAATTATGTTTGATTACTGAGATGTTCTTCATAATTCTGTTTTTATTTGGCAAAGTTTACAGAAGAGAATGACAGAAATGTTGCAAGTAATATTCCTGCCTAATTATAGAGCAGCATCCACCTCAGATTTGATACGCCAATGGTCTGCATGCTGAGGTTTGCCTCATGTTATGATGCAGCAGCTGGATTGTGGATCACAGGTATCAAACTGTGGCAGTCCCCGGTTACAAACGTTCATATTTCAGCACTTTTGGGGGAATTTGACTTCGTAGAAATGAGTTTGCTGTAGGATGTGAATGATCAAATCCACATGAAGGAAAATAGTCATTTTTAGCCAGATGTTCTGAGGTAAGCAGGGAAGAAAAACATCCATCTGCTGCAAAATTAAACTCAGCAAGATCAGTAAAATAGAACCCTTCTGAGACAGAGTTGTTTTAAAATGAAGACAAAGTTAAATTATAACTAAGAAGAAGAGCCTGATCAGTTTACAGTATAGCAGAATGTGGGATGGAAAACATCCAGCCAGAAACATAAAATCTAATCCAACTAAAAAGTCGTTTATGGCAGAAATGACATTTTATTAGTCTTATTCTTTGGCAAACAGAAACAGCGTTTCAGAGGATTCTGTGTGGGACGTCAAGCTAGCTAAATAAATCCCTCTGTGTGAAATAGAAATCTGTTTTACCAATGTTAAAAGAAAAAAAAAAATCTTTTTTAATGTCCTCTATAAACAGACCATAACTGGGCTGCAGAGAAACAGACTGGAATGTTTCTCAGAGGTTGAAAATCATTTTAAGGTCTTTTTTTCTCCATTTGGAAACAAAGGTCTAAATGTGTGGAGATGCTAGAAATGTTCCACCTTAAACGACAATTAAACTGCTTGGTTTTGTGTATAATAATTATCAGCATACCTGACAAGGCTTGCAATTAAAAAAAGTCATGTTTTTAAGCTTCTTTAATTGTAAATAAAAAGTTTCCCTCTCATCAGTTTAAATCATGCAGTTCACTAAAGCAGCAGCAGAGGGCAGTGTTGCATTAGTACCTCTGTCTTTTTCTGTTTCTAAGTAACTTGAAATCACTGATCATAATTATTCAATGGATTGCTGACCGGCCGTTGGTAATACAGGCTTGAATGGAAGCCACCGGCCGCCATATTGGTACTCCCTAGTTAGACTGGTCGTAATCTAAACAATCTGTGCGTTACAGCATGATGGACAGCGAATTTCTTTCTATTTCTTCTACTTTCTGTCAATGTCTAACTCAGTCAATGTCTTCCAGTCAGTCTTAGATAGCCAGACTAAAGTTAGTCTGCAGACTAAACTATAGGATCCATCGGCTATAGATGGATTTATTGGTTAGTTCATCCACTGACTGGGAAATGACCTGAGGAACATCTTCCTGCAGCCAGATGCTGCAAAGGGAGGCATTTGCGTGTCTCAGTGAGAGTGGGGAGTACCAACATGGCGGACGGTGGCTTCACTTTTTTCGGGCAATCAGCATCCAGTGAATAGAGATCAGTTTGAGATGCTGCTGCTGCGGTGATATGATCTATGGGATTAAAGCTTAGGAAAAAAATCGCCTGCTGGATATTTTTAGGGCGGGACTAAACTCTGTTCTGATGCCACATGGGGCCCCGCAGGGCCTGGTTATTGGCCCCTCTGCTACTTTCCTCATAACTGTTTTCAGAAAACATAAGATGGCTATTTAGTGAAACAATCCTTGGTTTTATAAAAGAGGAAGATCACAGCTGAATGTAAGGTTTAAAAACCTAAGAGAGATAAAACCTGCAGGTTTGAACTTTAAACGTTTTTAAGGATTTTTAAAAGAAAAAAAAAAAAGAGGCTTGAAATTCACTTTTGAATTTTTATTCAAAAGGTTTCCATAACATTAAAGCACACGAGGAAAACTGTGTTCACTTACAAAAGAGCTGCTTGATCTAATGTGGCGGTAACAATGAACACAGGCGTCCAAAAATAAGCCTGAAAAGAAATCCCTCCCACAGAGAAACCCTTTCTAAGCCCCCCCCCCCAAAAAAAACTGAAATACATTAAAAAAAGAGCATCAACTCAAACACATTGACCAACAAACACTAATCATGTGAGCGGCGCAGGTATTAAAATAAAGCCTCGTATTTCCCAGCTGACTTGGAAGTTCTCCAAAACATTTGGTACCTCACAACTACAAACTACACACTCCACTAAACAGGTAGTGATTTCTCTGTACACCGTCCCTTCCATCTAACCCACAGCCGTTCCCAGAGGAAAGGTCAGAGGTCATCAGGTGAACCCCAGAGCTCAGGGCTTGGCGTCGCTGCTCGTCATGAGAACTGGATCTGCTGTACAGTGGGAATCTGAAATGGAAAGTTTAGAACAATCAGAACATTTTCAGAATCGGAGACTTTGATGATGAAAAGGATCAGAACTCATTTAGAAAGTCCAATTTATAAAGCAGCGATAAACCATCTGACCTGTAATTAACCAATATCACCGTTTTATTATTTGGTCTGAACAGGTTTCTAGAATCTTCATTGGCTTCCTGTTAAAGGAATAGTACACCCAAAACATGATTAGCCTTCATTTTCTACTCACCCCCATGCTGAACAACACTCTGGAGTACTTTTTTGATATCTCAAATGCATCTGGAGATCTGGGAGGCTTCTTGCTGTCTGCTGACATTCAAATAATGGAGGTCTATGGCGCCCGAGGCAGAAAGGTCCATAAAAGTCCACAAAAAACGTGTCAATATTCCTCCATACTGCTCGTCCAATGTATTCCAAGTGTCCTGAGTGGGTAGCATCCAGAATTTACTCGAAACGAAGTCATTTAGAATGTTTTTAGAGCATAAACAGTAGTGTATAGGATTTCCTGAAAGCGCGTTCACGAGTCTACGGAAACCTCGGCAGACCAAACCAGATGAAAGTGCGCATTCAGCTCGGAAAAGAACTCATGCTCTTCCTCAACACTGAAGTCCTCAGACATTTTTCTTTCGTTGTTTCTTTCTTTGCACAGGTAAACAGCACATTTCTTCTTCTACGCTTGCATTATCGGCAGAGCAGACGCTGAATGCGCACTTTCATCTGGTTTGGTCTGCCGCGGTTTCCGTAGCGTCGTGAACGCGCTTTCAGGAAATCCTATACACTACTGTTTATGCTCTAAAAACATTCTAAATGACTTCGTTTCCAGTAAATTCTGGACGCTACCCACTCAGGACACTTGGAATACATTGGACGAGCAGTATGGAGGAACATTGACACGTTTTTTGTGGACTTTTATGGACCTTTCTGCCTCGGGCGCCATAGACCTCCATTATTTGAATGTCAGCAGACAGCAAGAAGCCTCCCAGATCTCCAGATGCATTTGAGATATCAAAAAAGTACTCCAGAGTGTTGTTCAGCATGGGGGTGAGTAGAAAATGAAGGCTAATCATGTTTTGGGTGTACTATTCCTTTAAGGCTAGGCTTAAAACTTTCCTTTTTGATAAAGCTTCTAGTTAGAGTGGCTCAGGTTATCCTGAGCTATCTCTATAGTTCTGCTGCTATAGGCTTAGACTGCTGGAGGACATAGGGACCTCTTTTTCATCATTCTGCTTCATTCTATCTCTATTCCCCCACTCTGCTGGTTTAGACTCAGAAACCAGGGTGTGTGTGTCGCAGTTAACGCAGATATGCCCCGCCCCCATCTGCTGCACCTCTCTAAAATTGTAGGTGACCGCAGACAGGAGGCCTCTGATTGGTCAAATCTACATCCACTCTACACTAACCGTATTTCCTGTTTGGTTCCTTACTGGCTTGTTTTGTTTTTATAACCTCCATTGTAGAAGATGAAGCAGCATGTTCCCACTTCAATCAGCATTCCTGTTCTGGCTTAAGATGTAGGAGAGTTTTCTACATGACCTGTACCTGTTGATATGAGGTGGTGTAAACCATGACGTTCTGCTGCTGGCCGTCTGCTGTGATGATCCCAGCTGGAAGCTGATTCGCTGAGAGAGAAAAAACAAAACTTTAGAGGGAGGAAAGATTCCAACTTTTCAGCCGTTTTCCCGTCAGAGCCGACTTACTGAAGCTGTCGTCTGTGAGTTCTTCGCCCAGACTCTCCCCCACGCTCACCCCCGACATCCCCTTCTCCCCCTTCATGGCCTGAGAAACAGTCAATCATTGGTGAGAAGCTGCTGCAGTAGAGCGGAGTTAAAATCCGAGCGGGGAAAGCGTCCTCACCTCTCTGAACTTCTGCAGGTAGAGCTTCAGCGGATCCACGTACATGTCGAAGCCCAGCGTGGACATGGCGAACAGGATGTCCTCCCCGTTGATGGTCTTCCTCTTCTCTTGGTGGCAGCGCTCGCTGGCTTCAGACGTGATGAAGCTGATGAACTCGCTCACACACTCCTGCACACACTCTTTGGCGTCTTTGGCGATCTGTGGGCGGAAAAAGAAACGATGGGGTTTGTTTGGGTTCTTCATTTACTTAATAAGTGTAAAGTGCATGAAATTAATCTCTAAAACAGCTCGAACGTTTATGTAATCCGAGTTTTAATTCTTTAATTAAGCTAATAGCAGTTTCAGTTAAACAAAAGATTCTTCCTGCTTAAAAACCACTGAAAAGTTTCGGACAGTTTTTTTTTTTGATTGGGATCTATTACAGCTTCATTATAGATTTATTTGTCAGGGACAGCGTACAGTAATAAAGCACCAGAATTAGCCAAAAGGCTATTTTTCATCTGTTGTCCCCTGACAGATCTTAAAATTCTCTAACCTCTTATAATCCACCTCATTTTGTGAAATCCTCGCCTATTTTGCATATCTAAATGAAAAAGCAAATAACTTAGGAACTGTAAGCCCAAATTAAATGTGCAAAACATTATTTGAAAGCTAACACTCTTTAGTTTCTGAATATATGAATTAAAATCGGGTGAGTAGAACACAGACCAAGCTGCATCAGTTCAAACATGACTCAAAGTTGTTTTTTTTAAATTCTCAGAAATGATAGGTCTGTATTGATCAGCAGTAATAAAGACATTCTTCAGAAAAGGCAGGTTCTATTGTATTAAATGTGTTCTACGTCATGTCGAACACAAATGCAGAACATTTCAGACCTCTAGCTAAAACAGTTCCAGAGCTGTGAGGTTTAAAACTTATGATGTCAGCTTGGAGTGGCGCTCAATGGCTCCCCCTGCTGGTGTCTGTGTTTCTCTCTAACACAAGCCTGTAATGCGTTACCCCTTTAAATAAACCACACATTTGAAACCTTATTTCATTGGCTACAAAGCCCAACATCTCACATGGTCTTAACCAATAACAGAGATTAAAACGTCAATCATATCGCGCATCACTGGCTGACAGGAAGTGAACCGTAGGTGAGATTTCGGGGACTATATCTCGCTAAAATCGCGTCATAAAAATATGCAGACACTTGTGTCTTGTAGATAAGAAGACGATGTAAAGAACAACACCAAACATCGCAGGCTAACAACCCAGGAAATAAGTATTAGGAGTAGATATTAGCAAGATGCTAAACATTAGCTATGACAAGCTAACCTTTCTGATGTCAACAACCGGACGTTATGGGCCATTTTCTCATCATGGAGTATTTTTATTAATATTATGCTGGATTACGTTTAATCTGTGGACCTTAATGGATGAATGGAGGATAAATAATTGAAGATTGGATTTATAAAACTGCTTCTGGACGCCTTCAAAGGTATGTAGCCGTGGCTGCTTTGGTTGTTTACATTTTGACATGCTGCTATATCAGTTTTAACTGTGCTTTGGTGCTCACTGTGTCCATAAAATTATCTTGGTGCTTGAATTTTGAAGAATCTAAAGCTTTCCAATGATGTCTAACATCATTGGAATTTAATGCATTCTGAGTTATTACCCCCCTTAACGTCCACCGGGTCGCCCGGTTGGCTTAGAGAGGCTAAACCGAACAACACAACAGGAAGAATTACAGTGATAAAACGAAATAAAAACGGCGAGAACTCTTAAAAACTTGTTTAAAAATACAGAAATAATGTTCGCTTGACTACGGATTTTAGCTTAATAAAATAGAAGAAAACCTTCAAATAAGAAAACAGACAATTAAAGTTTTTTTTTTTGTCAGTTTCCTTTAAATTAGAATAAAAGCAGAAAAACAAAGAATTAGTTTTGGTCCATAAAGGGATCCGTAATTCCAGATATTCTCCCTTTATTAGAATCTAAATCTAACAATCAGCAGGTTTCTTCTTCTCTCCTCCCTCACCAACCTTTCCAGTCTGAGGAACGGCGTTCTTCATGATCCGAGCCACGTTGGCGATGGGGAGGTAGATGTCCTGCTCCCTGTAGTTCTCCTTGGTGCCACCGTCTTCATGGTCGTTCATGTTCTCCTCTCCATCGTCTGAAAAGCAGAAAATAAACCCAGAATAAATGAGCTGCCTTTGATTAAGTAGCCTAGAGAATAAAAAGTCTGGTTTTCCTCCTCCGTACCATCCTGGGGTTGGAGGACGTAATGACCAGGAGTCATGTATTCTCCTGTGATGCCCAGCTGGGACGCGTCTGTGGTTGAACCGTCTCCGTCCATCTAAAAATAAAAACAACATCATTACTTTCACGCATTTATCATTTATACATGAAATTAATTATTAGCTTGTCTGTGTAGCTTAAAAAAAAAAAACAACTTTTTTTGTGTAAAATCCTGAAAGTCCTGCAGCAACCAAATGTTTTTCAGCATCTAATTAAAACTAAAATAGATTTTAAATAAAATCCAAAGCAGTAAATAACATAATTTGCCAATGAATTTAAATAATTTACATTTAAAATATGAAAATAAAATTCATTAATAGTGATGGGTAATGAAGCATTTTGAAGCCAAACTGCATTGATTCTGTATCACAGAACACTGACACCTGCTGGACATTTAAAGACACTACAGGCAGCTGATTGGACAGACTAAACTGAATTGATTTGATGACCTAATAGAATATCATTTAAATTACTGTAAGTTATATTTAATTATTTCAAAAATATATCTATGTTGAAATTGAAAATATGTTTGATATTTTTAGATGCAGCCAATAAATAATGTAAACATATAATGTGAGAATTTAGGGGAAAATGTGAATGAGGATGCTGTAGGATGAAGATTTTAAATCATAATTTTAACACAATAAGTGCAGTAAAAACAGTAAATAAACTAAAAGTCAATTTGAAATTAGGAAAAAGATGACACGACGAGAAAATTAAAATAAAAACTCACAGCTGAAAAGTTCCTATTCCTTTTAGGCTCCAAAATTCTGGTTTTAACGATAAACTGCAAAAGATGAGACATTTTTTTTTTTTTTAGCAGCTGTACCATGCTGACAGATATGCTTTTAAACGCAGTTTAATGAGTCAGTCAGTTAGTAACAACACCTGGATCGGTCACATGACTTCCTGGACGGGCTAGCTCTATGTGCTCCACGCACGCACCCACGCATCAGCCTTAACGGACCATCACTAATCAATCATCTTTTTCAAGTGACTGATTTACTTTAATTGTAAGAGTCCTGCTTCTGATTTACCTGCTCAGATTAAAGGCAAATACAGTGATTTGAAGGAGTGTTTTGTTGTTTAAAGTAATACTGAAACAATCGATTATTTGTTCGCTCGTCAGAACTAAACTGGTACAAGAATCTAAAATGAAGCAGCACGCGTGTTTTTGCTGCTGCTGCTAAAGGTGTGAACGTAGCATAACAGTGGCTAGCTTCCAGCCATGGCGTCCTGCACGAGCATGATTGACGTGTCAGGAACCAATAGTGGATCACGGACCGTCTTTTGTGATTGGTTGGGTTATTAATTGATTTCGCCCTGTAGGGGGGACCATTTATTTCAGTTTCACTTCCAGGCCTTCTATTTCACTGCTTGCTAAGCGGCTGTGGGGAGATCATTAAGCCACATGGTAAAGAATGTGTCAGGAAAGATCTACTGCACCCTTAAATGGCAGAAAAACAGTGAGCCTTTAATGTTTTTTCTTTACAAACAATCCTTACCAAAGGTTTTATTATACACTTTAATTATTAACAATTTCACTTGAATGAAAAAAATCAAACAAAAATTAAAAAAACAAGAAAAACAATAGCAAAATAATCCCTGAAGTTCTGCTCTCCACCAGTAGGTGGTGACGTGTTCACATGAAAGTTCATGAACTGAAGATCGTTGAAGCACTTTGGCTCATGTCACCATCATCTATTAGATCATATAACCTTCAGCAAACTGATCTTAAACATTCATAAAGGAAAAATAAACCTTTAAGGAAGCTTCTTCAAACAATTCATTTTTACTTTTATTATTTTAAATGGATTTTAAGGAGCAGATGTAGATAATTGGGTCCAACGCATCAATTCAAAATTATCTTAAGTGTTAAAATCCAGACCTGCCTGTTTATCAAGTGATTCTCATTAAAATCAGGAACACATCGTTTTAATTCAAAGAATAAACATTTATTCTAATAAAACTCCCAAACATGAAGCACCGACAATAAAAATGAGATTAGCTAGCTTATCAAAGATTAGCAGTGCATTTTCTAAGGAAAGTTCAGTTTATCTGAAACGTACAGAAGAGGATTAGAACCACTGGAAAAAAAAAAAAAAAGTTAACGTTGATTTTTTAAATTTCATTTCAGTATAATATGAGAAAAAAAGTCAGAATTCTGACTTTAATCCCAGAAACCTGACTTCAATCTCAGAATTATGAC